GCAGCATCCAGGGCACAGGAGAGAAGGCAGAGAGATGAGAGGCAGCCTGGGCTGGGAGGTGACTGAGCTCTTACTACGGGAGAAACATTCCCAGGATTTCAACGAAGAATTCTCTGGCTGTAGGAAAGTTCAACTTGCCTTCCTGGAGGCATCTCCTAAAGCTGGCACATCCCACAGCTTCTAGGATCTTTCAGCAGGACTCTCCCAGTTGCTGCAGTGCAGGGGAAGTGGCCATATGGCAGAGCAGGGCAGGAGCTGCAGGCAGCAAGGGCAGAGAGGAGAAGGGAGCAGGAGGTTCAAGGGATCCTGGGGTGGGAGGACAGGGCAGAGCTGCTCAGGGCAGGAACCTTGCCAGCCCTTTGCCAGGGTCAGGCTCTGGCTTCAGAGCAGTGCAGGTGAGTTCCTGCAAGTGCCTCTGCCAGCTGCCAAATGGCAGCAGTGGCAGGAGCTGTCAGGATGGCTCTGCTGGATTTGCTGGGGTGCAGCAGGAGAAGCTGCTGCAGAGCAGGACTTGCTGCTGCCCCCTCAGAGGCCCAGGGCAAGAAGGTTCCCTGTGGCAGGGCTGGCTGTGGGTTGGGAAGGTGGGGGTGCAGCCAGGGGTGCCCAGGGCTGTGGGGCAGAGCAGGGTCCTGCCCCCAGGGCTCTGTGTGCTGGGGCAGGGACTCTGCTGCCTGCCAGGGTCAGCTCTCAGCCCGGCCAAGGAGCTGCCACGGTGCTGGGGGAGAAGGGCTGTGGGGAAGGAACAACTCCTGGGAGGGCAGAGCAGGGCAGAGTCCTTCTGATCTCCAAAGTGGGCTGAAGGGATGAGGGCTGGTCACAGCTCCAGATCTAAGCAGGAAATTTCCCAGAAGGTATTTGCAAGAAGCACAGACAGACAGGGAGTACTTTAAAGAGAAAGAACCAGTTCTCTCAGTGTTATACTCTGGGTTGTCTGGGTGCTGACTGCGATAGAGAAATCAGTCTCAGAGCACAGGATACTGCAACTTGAACTCTGTTAGATTAGAGGGGATTGAACCTGAGAGTATCAGACATCAAAACTCTCTTACAGACAGCATCAGTGTCACTTTTCCAGCCTCCTCAGGGTTGCTCTTACATTGCCAGCAGAGCCTGCCCAGCCAGAGATGCCCCTGGGCAGTGCCCTGTGCTGCTGGGAGGGCTTTGCAGGGCAGAGCTGAGCCCCCAGGTGTGGGCTCTGACAGCACTGCCAGGGCCCAGCCCTGTGCCCAGGGACGCAGCTGCTGGCAGGGACAGCTCCAGGCAGCAGAGCCCTGGGCAGGGAGTGGGGGGGAAGTGTCCCCAAGGCCTGGGGGAGGGGGTGTTCAGGCAGCTCTGGGGGCCCTTCCCTGCAGCTCTGCTGGGCACTGTGTGCTGGGCCATAGAAATGAGGATTTCTGCAGTGGAAAAGAACCTTCCCCAGGTATGATGGTAAAAATAGAAAACACAGGTACAATTATTCTAAGTTCAGACTAAGCTTCTGCTCTACAGCCCCAGCTCTTCTGAGTCATGGGTGTAGAGGTGGAACTTTTGTATTCAAGGTGGGTTACATCTGACATTCCTTGTGTGTGTGAGAGCTCTACCAAAAAATTCCATTTCCCCCTGGAGCAGAGCAAAACTGACTCCTTGGCAGTGCATTTGGTGACATTTGACACATTGATTTCTTGTAGCAATGGAGTGGTTTTTTCACAGAGGTGTGTCTTAACTCTTCCCTGTCCTTTCCTTTTTTGAACAGACACTATGCTAAGAAGCAGCAAATGTCCAACAGCAGCTCCATGCCCCAGTTCCTCCTCCTGGCATTGGCAGACAGGCGGGAGCTGCAGCTCCTGCACTTCTGGCTCTTCCTGGCCATCTCCCTGGCTGCCCTCCTGGCCAAAGGCCTCATCCTCAGCGCCGTAGCCTGGGACCACCACCTGCACACCCCCATGGGCTTCTTCCTGCTCAACCTCTCCCTCACAGACCTGGGCTGCATCTGCACCACTGTCCCCAAAGCCATGCACAATTCCTTCTGGGACACCACAACCATCTCCTACAAGGGTTGTGCTGCACAGCTCTTTTTCTTTTTCCTCTTCATCTTAGCTGAGTATTATCTCCTCACCACCATGTGCTACGACCGCTACGTTGCCATCTGCAAACCCCTGCACTACGGGACCCTCCTGGGCAGCAGAACTTGTGCCCACATGGCAGCAGCTGCCTGGGCCACTGGGTTTCTCATTGCTCTGCTGCACACAGCCAATACATTTTCCCTGCCCCTGTGCCAGGGCAATGCCCTGGGCCAGTTCTTCTGTGAAATCCCACACATCCTCAAGCTCTCCTGCTCACACTCAGGCTACCTCAGGGAAATTGGGCTCACTGTGGTTATTGCCTGTTTAATGTTTGGTTGTTTTGTTTTCATTGTTTTCTCCTATGTGCAGATCTTCAAGGCTGTGCTGAGGATCCCCTCTCAGCAGGGACGGCAAAAAGCCTTTTCCACGTGTCTCCCTCACCTGGCTGTGGTCTCTCTGTTTGTCAGCACCTCATTCTTTGCCTACCTGAAGCCCCCTTCCATCTCCTCCCCATCCTTTGATCTGGTGGTGGCAGTTCTGTACTCAGTGGTGCCTCCAGCACTGAACCCCCTCATTTACAGCCTGAGGAACCAGGAGCTCAAGGATGCTCTGAGGAAACTGATAACTGGGTGTTTTTCAGAAGCAATAAACTCTTCTTCTTCTCCATGTTATGTTCCTCATTAAAGGCCAATCCTGTTATGGACTTCATTAAAGGCCCACCATATCTTCTCTATTTTTTACTCCTGGGATGGGTGTTATTTTTGTAACAATTTGTTCACACCAAAAAATCTTTATATCTATAAAGATACGTGCATATATATAAAAGTATATGTATGTTTATATATATATAATCACCATTTCCAATTCAGTGTTTGCCTTTCTAGCCTGGCCCAGAGGCTGTACAAATTGGCAATTGTACTCACTGTGTGCTTCAACCAAATAAAGAACTCTGCATTGGCTTGTTTGCCTGACATCTTTCCTCTCTGACTTCTCTGCAGCTGCAGGGTCGGTGCCTCTGTGCAGAGCTGGGTCACAAAAGAGTCCCAGCAGAGCAGCACTGCCAGGGAGCAGCAGCCCTTCTCCTGCAGGGCCTCCTCTCCCTTCCCTTCCACACTGTCCTGCAGAGCCCTGTGTTGTTGGAGGCCTCAGTGCTCTGGCAGTCGGTCCCAGTCCTGCTGCAGGACTGTCCAGGGACTGCAGGCAGGGACAGCCACGGGCACTGCTGGCACAGAGCTGACCTCTGCAGCAGCACTGCCATCCTGCAGGGGCATCTCCTCAGGCCAGGGCCTCAAAGCTTCCATCTGCTTTCCACTTTGCTCTCCAGGATGTGCCCAACACAACGCCCTGCAGAGGAAACCAGCAGTGACCAGCACAAGGGTGGGAGTGCTCAGGGTGGGGGCACCCAGCAGTGCCCTGGCACAGCCAGCGCCGCTCCCAGCACTGGCCTCTCACCCCAGGCCATTGGGCTTGTTCTTCCCTCCAAGGAGGGACAGCAAATGACCAGCTCAGGAGTCCATGTTTGCACTGCATGCACAAGACATGCCCATGTGTCACGGCTTGGGGCTGGGGGGTGGAAGGCTTAGACAAAGTTGATGGCAGAAGCCGTCTCGTTGAGCTACGAGGTGCACAAAGGACCCCCTTGCTTTCTAAATTCCTTCTCAGAGAGGAGCCTGGGGGTGGCTGGATCCAATCTCAGGCTCAGATTTTGGTTTCAATTGAAGGAATTATAGAGGTGTGATTCAATCACTTTGTCCTGCAGGTTTTAGTGATGGCAAATCAGAAATATTTCTTTAAAATGAATTATTTATTATGTCAAATGAACAGAAAATTTACCAGACAAGTGAACAGACAAAAGACCTCAATCAGAATTATTTAGTGCACAGAATAAAAGCCAAAAAACTCCTAGCAGTATAGTGTAAGATAGGATATTGTAGTCTATCAAAGTCATTCTATTAAAGCAGTTGGATCAAAGCCAGCAAAAAGAAACAATCCTGAAGCAGAGATTGAGGTAACTCACCCCACAAGGACAGGGGGTAGTTCTCTCTCTTTCACTTAACCCCTGGGCAGTGACCATGAAGAGCTGTCCCTGCTTCATGGCAGAAGCTCCACACACTTCAAGGAAGTCTGTGGAAGAATCTGGCACATGACAGTTGGACAGGGTTTTTATAGTTATCAAGGGTTTGACTGCTGGACATATTTGCAGGCCAGGGAGCAGCTTATCTGTCAAATCCTGCTTCAGAAAGCAGGATGTGTGTTTGAAGTTTCATGAAGCATTTTGGGTTTAGCATAATTCAACATTAAAAACATCACCTTGACACCAGCAGTCACTCAGCACAGAGAGCTTGCATTGCTTGCATTCTGACCAGTTTTTAGGTATTATCAGAGCAGAGCATCCTGCCAGAAATGGCTCCTTGATTCTATGAGGTTGCAAAAACTGTAAGAGTTCCTTTGGTTCCATGAGACCTCTCAGTGTCACAATGGAGCCTTGGTTCCATGAGGTTCTTGAGTGTCACAATGGCCCTGATGATTTGAGTTTCCACTATGTCCCAGGATTCCTTTGGTTCCATGATGCCCTGCAGTGTCACAATGGCTCCTTGATTCCAGGATGTTCCAGAATATCCCAGGGTTCCCTTGGCTCCAAGAGGCTCCCCAGTGTCCCACCGGCCCCTGGATTCCAGCAGGCCCTGCAGTGTCCCAATGGCCACTCGGTTCCACGAGCCACAGCGGCTGCCGCCGGCGTCTGTGCCCGGAGCCGCCGCTCCCACGGGGCTGCCGCACTCACCGCCGGGGTTGCCGCTCGCGCAGCCGCCGCTCTGCCCCGGCTGCACCGGGACCCGGCACCGCCTCGGGCCTGCGCTGCCGCCTCAGCGGCCACAGGGACACAGGGATGGGGGACCTTTGCTCTGACACTGATGGGGCCTGCCTTTGTTCTGCTGGGCTCTGGGCTTTAGGGAAATTGCTGTTCATTGTCATGCTCCACTGGAACACCTCCTGAATTCCAAAGGTTTCCTAATCCAGGGGGAGGGGTTTCTATGGCATCGGAGGTGCCGCCCCTCGGGACACATTGTCAATAAACCATCCAGCTGATTTGGATGGGTGTAAGAGCTGGGGAACACAGGATAAGGAGTCATCCCCTGAAAACCTTGGAACATTCCCTGACTGAATCCTAACCCAAATGGAACAGTTTGGATACAATTCCCAAATAGTTTGGAAACTCCAGTCATTCCTGACACCAGGATGGAAATTCAGCAGATAACTAAAGCCAGTCCCTTGGGAGCCCACAACCAGCGGGGCTGAGGGAGGCCCTGGCAGCTCCCCAGCACCTCCCTCTCAGTGGGACACCTCTGGCAGCCTCTCCCAGCTCGGGAACCCTCCAGTTTGCAACACTCCAAAGACCCTCAGTGATGCCCAGGACAATTCTGATCCCCCTCCACAACTACTCCTCCAGCTGTGACCCTTGTGTGTTGGGAAACACAAAGGGATTTGGGGGAGTGTTTCCCTGACAAGGAGGAGAATTTTGGAGAGGGACCTTTCCACAGCCAGCTCTTGATGTGTCCACACATCTCTGCCTGGGTGTGGGTGTGAATTGACTGTGGTGGGAATGTTGTTATTGGGAATCTATAATTCAGTCACTGTTAAAATTGTGGCAAATGCTATTGAATCACTTGATAACTGTCAAACTGGTCAATAATTAAATGCTACTAATCTCTTTTGCCCCCTTATATTTGTGTCCAAATCCTTTGCATCCTGTTCCTCTTGCATCCCAAGGTTCTGTGTAAATCATTCTCTTTCATCAAAAAATATATTTTTCATGACTTCCACTTTAAAATCTTCCTCCTTAGCTAAACTACAAAACAACTCCGATTTGTTGTTGACATCTTGAAGACAATTAAAGAAAGAAAAATAATTTGTTTTTCAGTGTTATAATGGGTCCCACAGTGTGTTTGGAGTTGCATCAGCTGTCAGTCCAAGATGGGCCATGTCAGAACTGGTGAGGTTGGGGGGTGAGGAGCAAGGCTGATCATCCAGGGTCAGTGTGGATCTCCTGAGGAGACACTCAGCATCAAGATCACTTGGAGAACACCCCTATCACCTCTTCTCTGAACTAAAAAATATCCATAATTGAATTAAACAAAAAAAGTACAAACTTGGAAGACTTGTTTTGAAATTGCTTTGAAGACAATTAAAGGAAGACAAAGAGATCCTGAGGGATTTCTGGATTTTAATGAGCCCCACGGTGTGTTTGCAGCCCAGCCCATGATCCTGAGGTACTGAGAGAAGATTGAAGCAGCTGCTGAAGAAGTCAGAAGCCAAACTGCAAGTGCCTTGAAGCATTGCTGGGCCCCACTGAGGGCAGGCACTGCCAAAGCCTCCCCAGGGACTCCTTGGAGCAGCTCCTTGGAGGCCAGGAGTGCAGGCAGACAAAGGCTCTGGGCAGGCCCCTGCAATGCTGAGCAAAGCCTGCCTTGGGTTTGTGGAGCACAAAGGCCAAGGCCTGAGCCCCAGGCCCTGGCCCAGCAGATCCTGTCCCTCCCGGCTGGCTCAGGGCTGTTTGGGGGGCACTGGGATGGGAGGGGGAGGAACAACAAAGGCCCAAACTGGGCAACCCCTGCCAGGCTCCTGAGGGAGGGGTGAGGCAGAACCCAAGGGCAGAACCTGCCAGGAAAGTTGCTTGTGGTGGCCTGAGTGGCAGAGGCAGCTGCCAGAGGCAAGGGGACAAAGGCCTGGGTGCCTTTGGGCCTTGCAGCCCTGCCAGAGCCCTTGGCCATCTCTCCTGCAGGCTGTCCTGCCCTGGCCCTGCTGCTGCTCTGGCCTTGCAGGCTGCACACACCCCTCCTGCTTTCCCACCCCCTCCCAGCAGCATTTCTAGACCCTCCCTGATGGCTCTGCACCAGCTCTGGCTGTTCCCTGGAACACAAAGCCATGGGCTGATCCTGACTTCCTCTGGGTGACCTCTTGCAGCACAAGGGTCACCGTGGAGTGACATTTCTTTTTCCTCACCTTCAGTCTGAACCTTCAGTGCTACTCTTTGTGGATATTTTATTCTGTTTCTAATATGGAGAAAAGCTCCATCCTGTCAGATCTCCTCTAGACCCTCTCCTGTTCTTCCTCATTCCTCCAGAATGGGGAACCTCACAGACAGACAAACCAGTCCAGATGTGGTGACCCCAGGGCTGAGTCCAGGGGGGTGACAACTCCCTTGTCTGGGTGCCCACACTTCCCCCAAGGCAGCCCCATGTGCAGTTGGCCTTAAATCAAGGGGCCATTCTGATTCTTTGTAATGTCACGGAATCAAGTGGCACCGTGACACTGCAGGGCCTCATGGAACCAAAGGAATGCAGGGACACTGTGGAATCTCATGGAACCAAGGGACCATTGTGACATGTGGGGTCTGTTTGGAACAAAAGGAACCCTGAGATATCTCAGAGCCTCCTGGAACCAAGGGGCCACTGTGCCTCCCCAGAACTCCATGGAATCAAGCAGAGCCGCTGCCTCCCCCCCGCCGCCGCACGGACCAGAGTCACCGGCTCTGCCCCGCTTGGACACCTCTGGAGTCAGCGTGTTCTTGGGCAGCACAA